CTTCCTTCCTTCCTTCCTTCCTTCCTTCCTTTACTTTACTCGTTTCAGTCTAGTCCCTTAACACAAAACCTCAGATTCTTATTTGCATCCGTATTTCATTTTGTTTCATTTTGTTTTAAAGCGTCCAGACTTTCGAGCTATGGATATCGATATCGAATATGCTTTTTAGCCACCCGTTTTTCTCGCATAAAGGAAACATATGGGCACCGGTTTTGATATTGGCGCATTGATAGCACACTCCAAACTGTCACTTCGAGTGGCTACAGATTTCCTCGAATTTGAATTCATCGGAAATGAATTAGGAAGCTGGGAACTCTGTTGGACTCTTGCGAGGGTTCAATTCAGTATGTAAACAGAAGAACTGTAGTTAGTCAGGGAGAAATGCAGCAATTTAGATAAAAGAGATACATAGCTCTTAGAATTTGACCAGTTTTTTGAAACCTGTGCAACCGGCCTAGATCTGCGCCTTTTCCTTCCTTCCTTCCTTCCTTCCTTCCTTCCTTCCTTCCCTCCTTCCTTCCTTCCTTCCTTCCTTCCTTCCTTTCTTTCTTCCTTCCTTCCTTCCTTCCTCCTTCCGTCCTTCCTTCCTTCCTTCTTTCCGTCCTTCCTTTCTTCCGTCCTTCCTTCCTTCTTTACTTTTCTATTTATATTAATTGCTATCATTATAATCATAATCGTTATCAGTGCCGTATCTTTATCGTCATCGACATCTTTATCGCAAAACAATTGTTTACAATGAGATATGAAATAACGATATTGGAGATAAAAATATAGTATTTTTACTGTTTTAAAGGCTGTGGCAGGGCCGTCGCTATTGGAGGGTGTAAATGGTGTAATACCCCTTTGAAAAAATTGGTTTCCATAATGGAGAGTTTTTTATCATTTGGGAGTGCTTTGTCGACAATTTTTCAAACCTGTCGGCAAATAAACGATGGTTCACTCACTTTGTCGGCAGGTAGAACCTGGAAACGGCCCTGACTGTGGGACATATAGAAAAAACTATTAGAAGCTATCTAGTCCTCATATAATCATATAATACAATAAACTTTAAGATAAGAAATTTATAGATGAATTCAATTATCAAAATCAAGATTTCCAGAATGAAAGACTGCAACAAATGCATGAATATTTTCAAGACAAACAGGAACTCGACAGTACAAGGTCAATAGTTAACTTTCCATAAGATCCTGGGCCTCCCTCTCATATAGGTTGTTAAACGAGTGATCTAGGCGAAGATATCCTGAAATAATACCCATTCCAAAATATTGATGGAGATGTGTGAGAAACAGGAGCTTGTTGTTCCAATAGAGTTCACCGGAGATCAGTTGCAATAATTCTTCGAAAAATAGGCGTACCACGACAAAGAATACGGATGGCTCAGGTGACGAGGATGCACCAGCCCCACATCCCCCAACCGCCACACTCACTTTAACCACCTATGTGCCCAATACAATTCTTTTCAAAGGCAAATCGTCTGGTCCTGTACTGGTCTCGGTTTAGATTAATAGTGTGTGATTGGTTTGACAAACTGGAAAGACGGAAGTAAATATAAGTATAAGTTTAGTTTTAAAGGAAGTGAAACAATGATAAGAAGTTTCAGAAAGTCTGTATGATCTGATCAATCAGCTCTGCCATCTTAGATGACATTCGTGACCTTTTATGCCCCCCCCCCACTGTTTGGGAGCTAACGTAAAAAGTCTATTAAGCCCCTCTCTAATAAGCCCCCCTCTCTATTAAGCTCCCCCTTTTTTAGCCCCTGATGTCAAGCAAAGGAAACATGCGCATTGAGTGGGTCTTTTAACGACGGGTTATCAACTGATCCTGGTGACTCTGATGATGATGAGGATATTGATTAGATTGAAAATCTTTCAAAGCTGCTAGCAACGTTTTTAAGGATCATTTGCATGATATTTTTATAAAAAAATGCATAAAGGCATTTTATAACTTGTTTAACTTTCAGTTATTATAAGCCCCCTTCTCTAATAAGCCCCCCATTCTTTCAAGTTCCCCTTTAGGACTCAAAAAATTAGCAGGCCTCCGGGGCTTGATAGAACTGATGTCCTCCGGGGCTTGGTTGGATATCAAACATCCTACCAACAGAACAGAAACAGCAGGAAAAAGAAAATAGGGAGGGGATCTACTTCTTTCTTGTCTGAGCACACACAGAGTTTTCCTCACTTGAAAAGGCCATGGGAAGTCCCAACAGAAAATTCATGATAGATTTCAAACAAGCATGTTAGACTTTGCTCACATACCCATCTCTGTAAAACCAACCAGGCAGTTTATTATCTAGTATAATTTAATTAATGATGGACAATTTTTAGGCCTGCGAACCGTGCAACAATAACTTCTGTCGCATGGTTATTTATATTGTAGCAACATATTGTGGAATTACTCACCTTTACTATTGAATTCGCCCAAAATTGCTTTTCATAGAGTAGCAGCTACTTTGCAGGTTGATCGTTTGAGAAACGAACTGATTCAAACGTAATTTTTCTAGTGCAATTGCAAACTAGATTAAAATCGTTACTAGATTCCTAGAATCCTGTCAACTTCCTCTTTCTATCCTTTGAAGGACATTTCCGCGATGTATTGTTCCTCACGAAACTGGGCTCTGTTGTTTGACAAAACAATAACAGGCATCAGATTGAAACTTTGGCACATTTGTACAGAAGAATGAGAGGCCGCAAAGCTGAATTCTGTGAAACAGGCCAGACAACACTGTAATGGAAAAGGTACACTTTTCTGATAACTTCAGCGATATTATTTATTCCTGTCGAGGAATTCTCTTGTATTTCTTCGATCAAAAAATAACAAAATATTTCAAGGATTTGCAGTCTTCCTTTAGAAGCTGGTGAAAAAAGCAAAGTTCGTCGTATGAAGCTACAAATTTTGTAATAACAATAAGCTGTTATTTCGTTATTTTTCATCGTTAATTATTAGAGTTTCTGACAAATATGTTTCAAAATACCAAATGAGAAACGATTGCCTTCCGGTTTATTTTCTGAGCTTGAAAACCGCTTCGGTTCTCTCAGCGCCCTAGGCCGTCCCAGGCAACTATATACCAATAGAAACATTTTAATCATTTTAAATTTGTTGTTGCCTGGCAATTAATCATTATAAGAAATTGTGAACCGAAATAGTTTTTACTAAATTACATGAATTTGAAATCAAATTATTTTGGGCCAGGCCCATTTTCTGTTATTGATGTCATTGCGAGGAAGTGACATTTTTAGGTTTGTTTACAATCAAAGGTTAACTGTCTCAACTTCCATGAATTGGTGAAAAATCTTATGGTTTAAACGATTTCTAGTGCATTTGCGAAAACATCGTAACTAACAATAAATTTCAAAGCAAAACAGATCAAGGTTCAACTGCAAGGCGCGTACGCAGAATGGTTTGGAGGGGAGGGGAGTACACTCATTTTTTTATAAGAAACTGGCTATAAGAAACGAGTACTGGACACTCAGAAAAAATTCAGAAACTCCAGTACTCGAAGCAAAAAAATTAAGAAACTATTAAATCGTGATAAAGCTGAGAAAAACGAAATTTTGTAGAATTCAAGAACAAGATTGCCCTGTTGGCCTAGAACTTAAGACACAAGGGATAAAAATATACTTCCCACAACTAAATACAGCATCGGAAAGGAAGCGAAACTCTTGACGTAATAAAAAAGTCACAAACATTTCATAACATCATTCATAAAATCATAATTAAAAAATGCTCTTAAGAAACAATGAGTATTGAAATTTCCAGAACATTAAGAAACTGGAGTACTCAATATCGACCTTTGTTTCTTATAAAAAAAATGAATGTAGATGGAGGGGGTGGGGAGTGGGGTTGGACTGTCGTGGATAAAAGGCTGTGCCTTAAAACTTCGAATTAGCCCCTCCGGGGGCTGGTTAATCTGGGTGGGACTTATAAAAATCTTCTCTAAGTTGCTATACTGATCGTTCGTTCAGTCACAGTTTTATTTTCTTTGATTTTATGGCTTATTCTAAAACATAATGTGAGCGAACCATGAAAGCGAGGCTACTACGTTGATAGGTGTGGGCGTGGCATATCGGAACTTATTATCAAAAACGCTAGCGAACATTCGTATCTTGAAACTCTTGAGAACATTCATATTAAAAAAACTCTTGTGAAACGTCGTGTTACTGACATTCTTACGAAGAATAACTCTTATTCCAATCATTCTTTGCTGTACGATTCTTTGATGATGTTATGGTATTTCTAAAGACAACCAGGTGATTTCTTTCTATTTTCCTCTCGTTCGTCAAACTATTAAACTATTTATTTTAGATTATTTAACTTTATGTTGAATATATACAGTCCTCTAGAACTTAACTCTTTACAAACCACTCTGTGGTACTTTTTACCCTAAAGCGTTTACGCTTTTTATGTTAATGTTTACGCTTGCATCTGATTCTAAGCGAGGTTTCTTAAACATAAAAAACAATTAAAGGGTAAACCCTGCAGCTACGCTCTTTTTTATTAGAAAATATTGTATAAGAGCCTGAGTCTAAAAATTGGTCAAAAGTTAAAAACAAATTAAAAACAATCTGAGGCTGAGCAGCCGTAAAATGTCATTTTCTGCTACGTGTGGGTGTTTTTTCGGTAAATTTTCAAACTTAAAAGGATATGAAAGTTGTCTCAGTCACTTTGTTGGCAAATAAAGCCTGAACACCTCCCTGGGACAAAAAAAAGCAAATTAAGAACAATCTAGCCTCAGATTTTCGAAAGAATAAGGAACGGTCAGCCTAGACTTAAATTTACTGGTTCTTATAAAAAAGAGTGTACAGCCTCAAAATTTTTACCACATCATGTAAATGCATTCATTGCCTATGTTTGGCTTGTTAGGAGGAAGCTAGTCCGTAAACCTTTGAGCCTCGTCTAACGATACAGTTTGTATATAGACCAGAGAAAGATGTTTTAAAAAGCTTTAAAAGCAGGTGTCTCACGAAATGTAATCGAATTTTGAATTTTTCAGGTTGCTGCGATGAGAAACTTGCAATTGCGAAGCATACTTTTCTTCATCACTTTCGTCATTTTCATTTCACCAATGCATACGTTGAATTGCCCTCGTGAAACAGGTAAGTAAAATCTTACAGTAACTGTAATATTTATGCAAGGAATGTGAGACAGACTCGTTTCTGCATTTTTTAATAACTGAGCTTTGTATTCAGAAGTGTTTAGATAACTTATTAAATATACTCCAAGAAAAATGCAACCTGATCTATGGCTGCAATGAAATTATGTTTCTTTCATTTTTTTGGTTTTGCATTCTCTTTTTGTATGATCTACTGTTTTTATTTGCTCAAAGGATTGAACAAAATAAACCTTTTTTAATTCTGAAAATTTCGAAAAACATTCTAATGCTGATTATTTTCTTTTAGATTCACCGGTTCTCAGAATTTTTGTAAACCCCAAAGAAATAGTGAAAGGCCAAACAAAAAACGTTACACTTTCATGCTTGGTCAAGCTGGGGTTTGCAGGAGGGCCAGTCACGAAAGCAGAGCTGTGGATATCAAAGTATAATAGTACTGCAAAATTGAGAACAATTCCTCATTATAATTGGTATAATCGACAACCTTTTAATCTGACATTGGCATTTGAAACTGAGGAGTTTGGTAACGAATCCCGGCTGGAAGCTCATTGCTATGGACACAAATTAACTGATAGTTGCACCAAAGAAAGTGTCGTTATGGTTTTGTTAGGTAAGACTTACAGTACCGTGCACACAGTAAGGGGCTACATGAGTTCCAGCCATTAATTGGCACTGATTGCGTACTCGCATGACAACTTGGCTACGTTGACAAGCAGGGACCGCGGGAGCGGTGGCCTGAAGGGGCTATAGCCCCCCCCCCCTACAATAATTTCCCAAATGTACGTAAAACCATACACAAAATCGCCCTGCTCTTGATTTTAGCATGTTTAGCCCCCCTCAAAACGTTTTAGCCCCTCAACTGTAACTTGCTCCGCGGCCCTTGCTGGCAAATGGTTATGTTGATATTCTCAAACGGATTCAATGATCATTCGTTATTTCTCAAACGAACCCAATTCTTTAATCCTTCGTTAAAGTGCACAAGGGACAAGGTTTTAGTCAACAAGAACGAAAAGACTTTGCCTCGATCCTTTTCTTACATCGGGCAGTCAAAATAGTTTGCTTGTTCACATTGTACTTTAAATTTTTTACAATTTCAAGTATTGAAAATATAAGCAAGTATGAAAACAAACCAATTATATTCACCGACAATTGTTGTACAGTTTAGCTGCTGTCATGCCTAATTTCTCATTTAGTGCCCCTTAGCAGATCTATTAAAGCCTAGTAAAACTTTTAAAGCTTTCGAATACCGCTTTTTCTCAATAACAGAAAGTACTCCAACCAGTAGGACAGAACAGGGGATGAAAAAAGCAGGTAAGCCTAAACAAATTGGTTAGTAATATTGCGTTCTAAGCCTTTTTTTTTACTTCAGTTTGTTTACTTTTCAAGTTGGCTTTATTTGAACTAAATAGCCTAGAGTTTGAAAAGTGTATTCATGGATAAAAGTCTCTTAAAATTCAGAATACAGTAAGCACTTGCGTAATACGAATCTTGTGGATCAAGAACATTGAGGCTGAAATTTTGCAATTAGACTACCCTGGGTACCAGAGCCGCAAATATTTAACGGCAGCAAAAAATAATGCGAGCGGTACAATTAGACTTACCTCAATTCCGGCCAAAAATAGTTTAGACTTTTCAAAGAAAGTTTATACTTTCTCTTTCCTGTGAAAAGTAACTCTCCTCCTCCCCCAATACAATGATGAATGCATACTTTTGAAGGAGAAATGATAGAACTATGAATCAAATATTGATTTGAGAGGAAAGAGGAAATTAAAATTTACAGGGGCAACCGTTGAAGAAGAAAAATGTAAAAATTGCATTTTGTCTCAACAATTTTGTCCGGGATTGTACCTGTAATAAAAAAGCATTTCAGCTGGAAAATCGTGACACAGTACACACCTGCATGTTAAAACCTAGCGATCTGAGAACCTTCTGGCAAATTTGCTTTAAGAGCCAAACAATTTTCAACAGGTTCTTATATGTGGGGTTTAAACATTTAATTCATTTATTGGCGGTACAGAACTTGAAAATGGCTTTGAAAAAAGCAAACATTTTACAACATATTGGCTAAAAGCTTTTTCGTCTGACACTCCTCAGAGTATAAAACGTCAGAATAGGGTCCGAAAGAACACGATGAAAAATGTATACCCAGTCGTGGATCGAACTACGTAGAAATTAAGAACTTTGAAACTTTGAAAAGTTTTGCCAAACTTTGAAAAAATTAAGTTCTTACATGCGGGTTTTTACCGTAATTTCTTTTGTGTCGATCATTAAAAACTGAACAGTAATAATCATGCACCAAATAATTTATCAATCTTATGTTATTTGTTTGCAAAAATAAACAATGTTCAAACTTTAACTTTCATTCACTGGACATAAGAGATTTTTTGAAGTAATTGTGGAGATGCAAGCAATCAAACTTTGAAACTGAAACTGTTATTTTCGTAATGCTGTTCTAAATCAGAATCTAAATATATCTAGCAACCTTTTAAGTAGTCAAAACAGTTAATTGCAGGTGAATTTTCATGATTATATTTTTATTACACATTGTTTTGTTACATAGAGCTTTTCATAGTATATATACTTACATATTCACATATCTTATTTGCCACAGACTTTGGATCGTATACAGACATAATAGCGATAACCGTGGCTGCGATTGCCTTGGTTTTTTGTATTTCATTGGCATTGTTTTTGTGCAGTAGACGACGCAATGGCGGCCCCCCTTCTCAAGTAAGTGTGGCTGGATAGTAGTAATCAACTCTGTTTTGGCTGTGCAGAAGGAGAATTATTTAAGAACTTTTGTGGCTACCTACAGCTAAAATTAAAGTTGCTAGAATTTAGAACGTCTTTTCTTTCAAATTATGTTACAGCTAAGCGACAGCCTTGTATAGGAACCTAGGGATTTAAGAACCTTCCGGCAGAAATTTGCTTTTTAATGCTCCAATTTTAAAGAACCTGTTTAGCCAAACAATTTCCAACGGGCTCTTATATGTGGGGTTTAACCATTTAATTTATATACTCAATTACCAAAAACAATGAAGGTGACAGAAAATTGAATTTTTAAATAAAACTGCAAATACACAATGCAATGTATGTTAGATTTGAACTGTTAGTATGAAACAATTATTGCTACTGTTTCATAAACAGTACTGTATATTAAATATTATTATATATTACATATTATATATATTATTTCATATTATATATTATTTTTATATTATTTTTGGTGGGCTTTTGGCAACATGGGTACACAAATAAATATTCAGAATGAAGAACAGACCAGATTTTGTGACATTCAACAAAAATATATACTCTGTAGAGATGAAGAACTTAATTAGGAACCTATTTAGCCTAAACTGTCAACAAGTTTTGCGAAAAATAGGCCAATCAGAGTTGCTTGCTCATGACTTTAAAGGTCACCTGATCAGTGCTGCTTGCCTAATGAAAATATTATCAATTGTCTCCAAAGGTGGAAATGAACTCTTTTTGTCTACACAAAAGCGATTTTTTATTTTTAAATAGAAACGGTTTTTTAAAACACAAAAGCGGTTTTTTATTTTTAAACAGATAGATTCTAAAACTCCTAGACGGAACAACGACTGTGCTCGAACATGTCTCGATTATTGCTCTTGGCACTATCTTCGTTCACAATCCACTGTTTGGTATATATTTCCTAGCTTAAAATATTATATTATCATTTTTGTCAAGCCCCTTTTTTAATTTTTGTTTTGAAAATTTAGGGTTCGCAAATATCTATAATTGTTCAAGTGCATATGGGAAATTTTTACAATGATTTCTTCTACCCAGCCAAGTCCTACTCTTATATTCTTTTGTGTCAATTTTTTCCTGCATCGTTCTTGCCTGTACGTTCTCTTCCTCCTATCCATTGATTTTTTCCACTATTAACTTTCCTTTTCCTCTCTAGTTTTCTTTTATCGTACTCTTTTCCTTACATTTACTTCTTTTACACTTTGCCTCTTTAATCGCTGCCTTTTCTCTTTTAGAGCTCCTTTTCCTTTTCATTTATTTTTATCTTTCCTATTCGAAATTTTCTTTTTCTGTTTTGTCTGATAGTATTTTTTGTACCCTTCTCTCTTTTATTCTTTCCTTCACTTCTAATTTTTCTTCCCTTCATTCCCCTTCATCTTCCGCCTTTTCAACATAATAGCGAGTTTTTTCACTCCTCACCTAAAGACAGGCTTTGGAAAGCATAGGAAAGGAATACATCTAAGTTTGACTCAACATTTATTGATGTTTCTGATCTGCATGTCTACTTTGCTCTTTTTCACTGTGCAGGCTGTTCTCACCCCTTTGGAACAAGATCTCGACCCTGTTGGACCCCCGGAGACAGACGGTAATGCTAATTTTCCACTACCTCATTTTTGCATAGTTTTATTTCTATCTGTTTTTTCACATATTTCAACACAATCGCTACCTGGATCCAATAAGCAAAAAGGATGTGTTGGTTCTCTTCAAGTATTTCTCTGTCTTCCGTAATCAAAAAAGCATCCTGTTTTCTTGGCCTTGATACAACTTCCCGAAAGTGGAAATAGTTGAAAGTGGGCTTAAGCATTTAGCCTGAAGAGTTTTTATTTTATGCAACGCTTATTGTTGAATAAAATCAACCAGAAATTGTATCACAAATTCCTTTAATTGCTGTGCTAACTTAACAGAATCTTTTTTAATGCATTTTTTAAGCAGATAGCCAGTGGCATAATGCTATCTAGGACACCTTAGTTCGATAACTAAGGGCACTCGATAAAAAGGGTCTCTAAATTATTTAGATCCATATTTTAAAGACTTTGCTCAAGTTCACCTCGTAAGTTTATAAGTTCTTTAACTGAAGCGACTTTCTTGGCTCCCCCTAGCTAAAGAGAAAAATTATTACGTTTACTACCTGCTTTCGTATTTGGCATGCTCTGCACTCTTGGATGAGATCTTCTTGCAGTCCTTAAAAAGTGCCCTGGACTGAGTTTTCTTCTTAGGGCCCTAGATACCTCCGTTACGCCATTGCATGTACCCAAAAATAGTTCAAAATAAGCTCTTTTCAATCTTTTGCATAGATATCAGTCGTATGATTTATAGATTCTTATTTCTAGTGACAACTGTTGCTGCATATGAAACATACGAAGAAAACAAAGAAGAAGGTTAATATTTCACTGCCTCTTGTTGGTTCACTGCCTCTCTTAGTTTTTTTCCATCGGTTCACCAAAGATATTTGACATAAGATATTTTCATTGTTTCTGTCTTGAAGATCGTAGCCATAAGAATACTACAAGGCTCTGGAATCTTAGGTTCAAAAGATTAGGTTTTTCAAATGAAATTATCATTTTCACTATCGTATTTAAATGAACAAGCTTGACTTTTTCTCCCTCGCCTCCAAACCCTCCCTCCTTTCCCTTGTTAGGGCCTGCTATAAGTTTCTAGGCCTTTCCCTTACATTCCCAACTGAAAAAAAGCTTATAATGTTTAACTGATATGGAATTAAAATTGTGAAAATGTCAAAGGTCAAAACATGGCCATTCAAGCAACTATTGTATATTTATTATTATTGATGTGTTATATTGCTATAGATTGTTATTTTATTGATATGACTTTGGCGTAATTGATTATGTTTCCTTAATAGATATGACCCATGCTGCTGTCAGCTTTGTTTCACGCCCACTAGTTTCAAAAACCTGCTGGAACAAATTTAACAAGAATACCTAATTTCTTATAACTAGATATTTTGGGGCATTAAAGTTTTTCATTTTCGTTTTACAGTTGTGTGCATTAAAGAAGACTTGTCTCGTTCGAAGTTGTGTGCATTAAAGAAGACTTGTCTGTTCGAATACCTAACCCTCCAACTACCCTTGGTGCTGGAAAATTTGGCTCGGTCATCTTAGGTCATATGACTTGCAAAGATGAAGATGAATTAGCTGGATACGTGGCTGTCAAAATTCTTAATGGTATTGTCCGTTGTTCTCAGCAAGCGATAACTTTGCAACTGGCATTTAGAACTAGTGATATGGCATGCCAGTGGAACAATCCTCTGCTCCTTTTATTGGCGTGGATTCATAGGAGCATGCAAACTGGAAATCAGGCAATTAAAGAAGAAGTTTTTCTCAAAACCCATACAACTATATACAAGCAACTGAGATTTATATTTGGCTTTCCAACAATGTGCAAATGCATATTGACTTTATTTGTTTTTTAAAGGAATCGTGTTAGCAAGAGTTCATTACTTGACCTCTGTGTCCTTACTCTAGAAAAATGAACGTTTCTGGTCGTTCTATCCATTAAGGGATCTTTTACTAAATTAATTCGACATGTTGCTTTGTTTTATTAATTCGACAAAAAGAAGCTTAGCATTATTTTTGAGTGCAAATTTTTCTTTCAGATTTCTATAACCCAAGACACAGAAGTGATTTCCAGAATGAGATACAAACACTTTCTATGCTAGAACATCCAAACATTGTAAAAATGGTTGGTTTTCACATAACAGACCATAAATGTAAGGTCCAAAACAATGAAATTTTTCGTACAATTAGCTTGCCAGTCAATAGTAACACTTAATCTGATCAACAAACCATAAATACATTTTCACTCTATATTTCATTTATGCCTAATGATACACCCTCTGCATCCGTTCTCTCTGTATATCCTGGCTGCCAGAGCCTGAAACATGGGGAGGAGAAGAGTTTCTCTCATCTCAATTCCCCTCCCAATGTCTCAATTTCCCTCCCGATTTTTCAATTCCCCACCCAATTTCTCAATTTTCCTCCCGATTTCTTAATTCCCTCCCAGTTTCTCAATTCCCCACCCAATTTCTCATTTTTCCTCCCGATTTTTCAATTTTCCTCCCAATTTCTCAATTCTCCTCCAAATTTCTCAATTCCCCTTGTTGTCGAAGTACGACTCTGTTTTGCTCACATCCAGAAATCAGCTAGTTTCACCTTTTATTTCTGATGTAAGCTGCATCAGAAAAATTTTCCAGACTATGAGAAACAGAGACTTGATAATATATGATTCCATGATTTTTAATCAAATTTGATGACGCTAAATGAATGGTTTCCAGTCATTTTTTGTTATCTTCTTGTAATTGATATGAAAATTCTTTCATACCGACAGAAACCTAATATCACATTCAATCAAAATGCTTCATACGTTTTTTTCTAGTTTATATTGTAATGGAATATTTGGCAAGGGGCTCATTGCTAACTATGCTGCAGCAGGAAGGTGATGCTCTTGGCATCAAGTTTTTATTAAAAGCTGCTTACGACATTTCTCTTGGCATGGAATATCTGGCTGGCAAGCAAGTAATTGATGACATACATTGTTACGTACTCGAATAAATTGCTAATTTCTAGATTCTATAAGCCCTTAGCATACATTTTAGCTACGTTTGTTGAAGAAAATCGACGCCTTTGTTATCTTTGATGAAATCTAATTGATTTATATGTTGTACTTTATATAGGAACAATTTTCTGACGGATTTTTGATGATTTTACAAATTTTATTTAAGGAAAGAAAAGAGGTTCAGTGTTTCTGATTAGCGTTTAAGTAGCGGATTTTCTTGCACTAAAGTTAAAGTCAAGTGTATTCATTTTTACATTTGTTTTTGCATTTAGATCATTCACCGTGATTTGGCAACAAGAAATGTATTGATTGCTGATGACGATTCTGCAAAGATTGCTGACTTTGGCTTAGCACGATGCGTTGAAGAAACTGGCGAATATAAAACCAGCAAGGTGAATTTTCAATTTTTACAGTAGCATTTAGGGTACGAAACATTTGTATTCAGAGTTAAGGATGAACCATGTTTGTTTTATCTTTTTAAAGTAATGATTTTTTGTAAAAGATATCCGTAAGAATCTTAAAAATTAAAAAGAATCCGTTTAGGGGCGCGGTACCCCCGCGGTAACATTTTGTCCGGGGCATATCAAGGATTTTTGCCGGGAAAAAAAGAATTCTTTTCTCACCCTGTTATATTTTTGCAACAATTGTAACGTATTGATATTCTGTAGAAGTTGAACTTTCATTCAAAGTATGACACTAAACTATGAACTTTGAAATAGAAACGTAGAAAAAAGAGTATGTAAAATTATTTATCTTTTGAACTACACCCTTAATGAGTGAGACACGCCATTTTTGTCGGCAAAAATAATTTCTTTACACCTCCAAAAAATTTTTTGGCTTCGCCTCTGTTTGATGGTTTTATCTGTAGATACTAATTTATAATGCATTCCTTGCTCCATTTTTCAGGGATACATGCCAATTAAGTGGGTAGCACTTGAAACTCTAGAAGGTGAACGTTATACCATGGAAAGTGACATGTGAGCAAATTTGATGCTAATCTGTGTGACTTTATGTATGGGTATGAAGTAAAAGTTTTCATGGTAAAGACAACCATGTGTGGATATTTAAAGCTGAACATCTTAAAAATTTCATACAAAATCTAAACAATGTCGACATGTGACGAATGTTTTCCTTTCTGTAGACGTGCTTCCTACAGCCTTTCATAACTTTGAATTAAGACTGTTTTTGTCACAGTGCAAGTCCATAGATGTAGATTATGTTCTAATCAATAGAGTTCTAAAATGATGATATCAGGAAAATCTATTTTTAGAATTTTTTAATTTTGATCCCATAACCTGAAAGAGCATCATAAAATACCTCTAAATGTGCAAAATCAGGCAAGTGTGTTATGAATTGGCAGAGATATGGCCACATGTTTATTGGTTCTCCCCCCCCCCCCCTATTTTGGTTTCTGTTTATAACTTTATGAACAGAGCCAAAATAACAGTGATTCGTTAGCAAACTTCAAATCTTTCATTGGCCATATCTCAACTTATTTTAGACATATTTGGCCAATTTTGCGTATTTGAAAGTCTGATCTTTTACGCTATGTGGTTAAAATTCAAAAATTCTAAAAATAGGTTTTTGATGACGTCACACTTTAGAACTCTTTAGCCCATAACCATCTTGTCACGCATAATTATTTTTATATAGAATTTTGCTCATTAATTTCCTCTTTTCTATAGATGGTCATACGGCATAATTCTTTGGGAAATCTTTTCATTTGGTTAGTATTAGAATTTCGATTATATAAACTTCATGTCATAAGTCTGCAGATAATTTCACATTTGATCAAACAGATGGACTGGCTATCCTGTGGAGTCAGTATTTACTTTTTTAATACCAAGAAGTGACTTTCATTTTGCTTCAAATAAATTTATAAGAAAACAACAAACCTGAAAACTGACCCACCATTTCTAAAATGGGAGATGATGTATGCATCTAAAAATGAAGCATGAAGTCAGGACGCAGATCTTCTACTTTTATATTTGCTATGGATCATTTTGCTGAGTGGTACTTGTGCCTAATTAGGCTGCTTTTTAAGAAGACAAGATATCTGCAAGAGGCACGTTAAAGCTTCTGAAATATAAGGGTTCTCAAGGAAAATTTACGAAGCCAATAGTTAACTCTAGGATTTCTTTTCAACTATTTCCCAAAGAAATCTGCAAAGTTAAAAATGGTGTATTTTGCCTCCATGGTGCTTGAGCTAAGAGGGTCGTATCGACTGTTAAAGTTTGACTATCTTTCTGTAAGGAAATGGAAGATTGAAACAAACTTGCGTAAAATGGTTTAGGTCAAACAATTGAATGCACAATCAAGTGTGTTGGCAGCTGCTACAAACAGAAAGTGAACGGAGTATAGAAGCTGAAAGTTTTGATCTGTTGGTGTAAGAGCTTATTTGTATGAAACAGCCCTTTTTGTTTTTTTACACAGGTTTTATTTTTGCATTATATAGGGGGAATTTTGCATATATTTTTACACAATATAGAGGAAATATCATCTAAAGTGAAATTTATAGTGAGAATTTAAATGATATATTTTCTTTCTTAATATTTATAGGAAAACATTCTCATTAGCAGGAAAATTTTGCTTTTTTGAATTTTGACCCTTTATTTTACAGGGGCTGATCCATACAACGAGATTCTTTCAGACCGTAATGCAAATGTGTTTGATTTGAGGGATTTTTTGAAATCTGGAAAAAGACTGAATATGCCTAAGGCATGTCCAAACGGAGTGTGAGTTTCTTTTGAAGCACGAGTTCTTAATTATGACGTCATCGAGATTTATTATAAGAATTTTTCACTTTGACCACAGACTTTTGTTCATAAAGTTTTGAACAGAAACCAAGTTTCAGAGGTTGAATGGGGAATGAGCCTGTGCTTATTGGGTGATATTTCATCCGATTCGTGACGCATTTAACTGATTTTGCACATTGAATGGTATTTCATTATGTCCTTCAGGTTATATGATCCAAATTTAAGATTTCTAAAATGGGTGAACTGTTGTGGTTCTCAGGGTACATAGCAACTAAATATAATAACACACATAGAGCAGTCTTAACAGTTCCTTGTGTGTGAAACTCAGTCATTTCAATCCGTATTCAACAGCCAGGGCCGTCACGAGGCAAGCCTCGTAGGGGGGGTGGCGTGGACTACAAATTCACCTGATTAAAAAATTATTGCCTGAAGTTTTTTAGCTGCTGTCACAAACCTCTGCAATACATTTTGTCAATCTAACTCTGTTTGATAATAACGGGCTTTCTTAATAGTCTTGTCAAATCTCTTTATTGGGTCGGGCAAAGGATATAGTTACTACCTGGGACGGCACCATTGTTGCCGCCGAAGGAGGAGGAAATTTTCGAATTTTGATGCTTCTAGTTCCCTGGAAAATGCACTCTTTTAAGCAAACTTCACTAAAGCAATCCTCCTAATCCTATTAAAAAATTTTTTTTTTTGCAAAAACATTTTACAGCAGATAAAAACAACAATTTCGCCGTGGTCTTGAAAAATACCAGGTTGTCTGTTACTTCTAATTTTACCTAACGAGGGCCTGGATTTTTAGATTTATTGCCAACAAGCAATCTTCAAATATTCAAATCATTAGTTTGTTTACCTTCATTCATATCAAGGAATATCATATTTAACCAACGAAGCAACTACCTTTGCTTGATCTTTTATTGCTTTTTTGACATGAAGGTCTCTGGAATACCTAAAGCGTTTCTTCCTCCGAGCAGATTTTTTCCTGAAATTTCCTATTGAGATACTATTGGGGGTGTGACACCCCCCGGTCGCAAGGCCCCTGTCAACAGCGTCTCCTTGCAACTGGACTGCTAGTACAGTATGAACAGGGTCTTAGGTTTTTATAATTTTAATCGTAAAATATCATGCTACCTCACTTTTTTCTTATCTTATCTAATCTCTGTGTGCTTTAAACATTTTGAATTCCCTTTAAGTAGTTTGTTGTCAACTTCATCTTCTTTGCATTATAGTTGCACAATACATGTATATATTTGAATTTACCTACAATTGACATTCATAGATGTGACATCATGAGAAGGTGTTGGTCTCCTTTCGCCAACCAAAGACCGCCATTTACGGAAATAGAAAAGTCGATGCAACGATTTTTGGAAGAATATGAGAGTGAGGAATTGCAGAACGCAGATAATGTGGCACAGAAACTTTTTGCAAATTGTTAATGGACAAAAGTCAACAGGTTTTCTCACGATTCCTGTTTTTTGTCGCCTCAACTTTATACCAACGTTTTTAGAATGCAAAGTGATTCTTACCTTGATAAGCTTGTAACTAATTGTTCGTCTATTCAAACGAAGCCAATGGCAAATTGATAATGAAGTTTTCTTTGTGATGAAATGTAATTTTTTAGCAATCGGAAATTGGTAAGCTCAGGTAAGAGTATGAGTAATATTTTACAACAATAAAATGAGAGAAATACTTTACCTATCCTAATTAATTAAAAAACCATTTTCAAGTAAATTTTGAATTGTATTGTAATAGTAAAATTAATACTAGCTTTGTATGACCCATACAGAAGAAAGAATCTAGGTGCAAAGTCACTTAAGAACTTTCTTTGGGTACCAATCAACAGGCAATCGAATCAGCAGCCAACTCTCCAAGTGTTAGTGAATACCAAAAAAGCCCAGATCAAATGGCTACAATGTAACTTAAATCTGATTCTCTGTCAGCAGATGAGTTCCTTTCGGATTCTAAATTGATTCTGCAAGCCTTCCTTTAAACTTAACATATGTATATACATCAAAATTCGCAAATTAACTTAAGCTGCCAAAAAATGTCCTTTTTATTCTAGATGCATTATCGGACATCCTATAATCGTTTTGGATGGTCTTGTTTCCCTTTGCTTACAATCAGCGAAAAACTGGTTACTTAAACCGAATTATGTCGGTTATTTGACAATAGGAAGTGACGCCAGGCTAACTCACGAAGATCGATATTACATTTAGTTTGTCTCAAACTCAAATTGAATCGGAGATGCAAATTGAATATAGAATGATTAGATTGTAGTTATTATGATGCAAATCGAATCAATCTATCACCTACTATCTATTCTATCGTACAACGGCGATTCGATTATCAGCCTCTGCTCTAATGGTATAAACGGATATTTTCTGACTTAGAGCACAAAGACAGAGTATCTAAAAGTGTCTTAAGATAACTCTGAATTAGATTTAGTAATTTTATTACTTTACCATTGTGTGATTTGAGTGTTTTATCCATCTTATTCATTTTGCTCAGCCACTTTTTGTGATAACTATCACTGACTCCACCTTTTATGATTGGAATTTCATCAGATTACGCCAACACTTTGAGGAAATCTCTGCGACCAATTTAGATCCAAATTTGGAACAGTGATTCTTTATTCGGAAACTTTGTTTTCGCACAGATGTATAAGCATTTAACTTTGCGTCAGTTTCACTTCAATTATTTCTGGAATAATGTTTCGTAGATCGTCTAATTTATTTCAATTTTGATTAATCGTATAAAGCTATGTCTAAATATTGATTTATTCGCGTGAACGCTTTCGTTATTGTAGTGTTATTAGTTTAAAGTGATATTTAATTAGGACTTTCCACTAGGAGCCGTTTGTTTAAAACAGTGTGCGTGGAGCCAGACCTCCGCTAACTTAAAACCAATCACCATCGTGGTAGACCATATCTTGGATGACAACTGAAAATAATGTTACTGGCCATGGAAGGTCTTGAATCGAAGTCTCAAGGTTCGATGTGCCAGAATGACGCTCTGGAATCTGCAGTCACGCTGAAGCATTCTATTGCTAGTATTTTGAAACCTGGATTAAGCAAATCAAACGTAGCTGTTCTAGGTATGTCAGATAGTCATTGACAAAAAATGAAGATAATTGTTTCAGTCAGTCATTAGACTTCGTTAGTAGTTAATCTTTCTTTCAAAGAGATCTTATATGTATAATCAAACAAAAAACTGAGTTATAATTATTACCTCTGTAGTGAAATACTTTGACTTTGGTTGCATGGATGTCTTCAAAAGCTATGTATAGATTTGCTTGACAGCTTTGCCTTCGAGTCAATACTTCCCATCCTTATGCAAGCCAATCAGCTGTTGGTTATTTGCCAGTATAAAAGTACTAGCGTATTAATTTTTAGTGAAACTTGATACTGAAACGATTCTAGAGGAAAACCAAATAAAATTTACACCAAGCAACCACGCTGATAAGTAGATTATGTCTTGATGATGTCAAGTATTTACTCGACCACAAATTTCTTGTTTTTCTACAACATTGTGCCAAACACTGTCTGCAAAATATTTCACATTTCATAATTAGAATGACTGCAAGTACTCAACCTGTCTGATGAAACCTAGTATCATCTGGACAGTTGATTCTTTTTTGGATAATAATTAATGCACTAGACACGCTATGCGCACATTATACCAAAGACACTTTGCTGCTAAGGTTTAACCCCTATCCAATCTGCAGAAAGCTTCAATCAGTACTTTACATCGCAGAATAACATCTCTTCGCCTTCCTTCTAAAGCACTTTGCGTTTCCAACTTTGAACTGTTGGAACTTTAGAAATGAAAACTGTTTTGTTAAAAAGTATTCATCAAAATGCAGCACTCCCCGTGAAGATTTGACAACGACCATGTCTGATACTGTTCAGCTGCCTCTGCCAAACCAGGTACAGAGAGACTTTTGATGAACAGTGTTATTCTTATTTCGATGCTTCGAAACATACCATACACACTTTACTGACATGCACATTTTCAGATTACAACAAATCAAAGTGCATCAAAGGAACAAAATTGCAGGAAGATATAGAAGAGGGAAAGACGAATAGACTAAGAAGAAGTAGAACCACATTCACCACGTACCAGCTGCACCAACTTGAAAGGGCATTTGAGATGTGCCAATACCCCGATGTCTTCATGCGGGAAGACCTAGCTAACAAGCTTGAATTGAGTGAAGCTAGGGTGCAGGTAAATTTGAAATTTATATATATAAAGAAGCAAATCGAAGGGTTTTATTTTGTTCTTGCCTGTTTAGTCAACAGAAGATGTGAGGAAGGCTAGTTACTGGCTCCTCTCCTCAAGGCCCAGTGTTTCTGATCTTGCAGTATTTTAGGATTATGGAAAAAGGACTATTTCCAAAGACAACGTTGTATGAAATGAGTATTATTTTATGTAAATTGCATCAATGAAAGTAAGCCAGGAACAACACAAGTCAGCTTAGAGCTATAAACTTAAAACAGGAACAAGTCGTAATGCCAGACTGATATGTTAAATTAAGCTAATTTATGTTGAAATAGAATTTTAAGGATATTGTTTATCGTCATTTTTGTAGCAGGATTTTGAGGCATAGAATAATGGCTTATCTCGTTTTCTATCCTTTGAGCATTGTATATCAATGTTGTGTTTTTTAGACCATATTCACAAATATTAATGAGTGCTCGAATAAACAAAATAACAAAAGCGTTATACGATAAGGCAATTATGATGCATATAGGCATAAGACAGCTGTTGAATATTTTGGAAAGTCGACTTTAGAATCATCTTCAAAATCTTTCCCTTGCTTTATTTTCGCGTTTTCGTAAAACGTGGCAGGTGCAGTATTTTTTCCCTTCGATAAGTTACTCTCTATTTTGACTGATTGTGTTATATGGTTTGATAGATTGAATGATTCAGCTGAGCAATATTTCAAGCCGTTCATGGCAATTCCCTTTAACTTTGGGTTTCTGCTCCCTACAGCCCAAGTTGCACTTAGTTGATAGGCGGAATGCAGACAAATTTTAATTTATGGGATCACCAACGAGGCGGTGAAGGGCGCTTATCTTCGTATGAATCATAAGATCTTCTTGATACAGGGCTTTGTCTGGTGTCTCAAGAAAACGGTCTAAATTTAATAGATGATATCACTGTATCAATTATTTTTACTTGTCTTTGACCCAGACAAAGTGACATCCAAAGAGCACCACTCATAATATATTACGATATTATTACAGCAATGTTATTAGAGGCCACATACATTGAATACAAGTTTCAAACAAAGAATCATAAGAAGTCTGGCTGGTCTCGATCGTGTTAGATTTGCTCGAAAGACGCTTTTTCATGCTGCAAGTGGTGATGTCAAAGAGAGGCTCATCCCCTTTTACGTCTTCATAGGAAACTTCTTCAGTACGCGAAACAAAATATTAAAAAAAACAAATGACTTTTGAAATATTGTAGCTATAAGTCTGAAATTTCATTTCCAATTTTTATGATTGGCTGATTGACATAAATCCCTTGATACTAGGCCTTAAAAATTCTTCAAAATTCTCATCGATTTCTTCATTTCAACTTCAAAAGTATCCTGATAGATTCTTATTTGGAATGAAAGCTTTTCCTCGGCATGAAGAATTACACATACGTGTACAAATGCTAAAATTTATTTTCCAATTTCGACCAATATTTCTTGTTTAAAATCTAGGGTGTTCAATTGATATAGAATTTACTGTGAAAAGCTATTTTGCCAAACACTTTGCCTTTGGGGAGAGACATCAAACATTAGCTACTAGAGCATATGGACTGTTCTAACTGCATATTTGTAGTGGTTAGATCGTTGGTATATTTTCCAATCCTGTATGACAATTTGATCCCATTATCTCAGCAGAGAGCTATAAAATACGGTAGCCATACAATTTCTAATGCTGTTTTCCTGTTACCTTGTCAGCTTTTATTTATCTTCTTGATCTTCGGTGTTCAGAATGGTGGTTGCAAAGTGCTGTAGCTTAATAGGTGGTCATTGTTCCAGCTTGCAATGTCCGCCCCCTTTTGTAAGCTCTGTAACCAACGATATCCCCTACAGAGGATTAGTTGCTAGTTGTTCTAAGATAAAATGCGAGGTTTATATGGGTTGTCATGCATCAAAACCATGTTGAGCATTTATCTCGTTGCACAAAACGATGAATATAATGAAATGAAACCACAGCAGATGGGTGTTGAGAATATGACAATTATTCACTATCTTCAATACTTATCGCAGTTCCATGATTTGTTCATTAAGTACTACACTGAAACATATACACTTGGAATTTTGCGTAATATACTATTGTAAAATATATAATTATGCAATTTGCAATGATTTAGAGATTTAGTAATTATGCATATTGTGTACTAAAATTCATAAAACTATTTGTTATGCTTTTGAATGCTATTTTATTACACCATGGACTGTAGTCTATCATAATTCAACCCAAGCTACACATTGTGCAATGTCATGAACTAATTAATGCTTTAGATAATTACATGATTTAATATATTGCTTTTCGCACATTACAAGCTTAAAAATTGTCAATTTTATTTTTCATTTTCATGTATGGCCACCGGAAGGGTGATGGGAGGCTGGGGGCTGGAGCCCCCAATAATTGTCAAGTTGTAATATATTTTCTTTATAGCAGTGCAAGAGTGGGAAGCAAAGCAATTTGCAGCTGCCCCCCCCCCCCCACAAATATGAATTTTGTTCCGACGGCACTGTCATACGACAATAATTTTCTGAGCTTCTCTTTCTGTAGTTATTATTTCAAGCACAAGTTCCGCACCCGATTTATCTTTTTTGCATTTCATCATTTTTGTATGAGAATAGCGAGAAATGCGGGAGCAACAAGCTCTACATCTCACTTGTGTCTCTGAGTAGCTTTCATTAGTATAAAAACCTTGTTATTTTGCTGTTGCAAAAAGACAGTAGCTGACTTAAATAAGTTCTGAAAATACAAATATTAAATCTTTCCATTTCAGCTCCTCAACCTCTGTTTGCCTTGAATTTTCGGTTGTTACATATTTTTCGTGTGGATCTTAGTATTTTGAAGTTGTTGGTAGTCTATTTAGGATCCTCTATACCCTTCCATATTTTTACTAACGTTATCTCTCTTCAGGTTTGGTTTCAGAATCGGCGTGCTAAATGGCGAAAAAAGGAAAAGCTCTCCAACAGCAGAATGAATGGTCCATGTCCCCCTGAAGTTGAGCAACTCTACGAAAACCACAAACGCTTCTGCGCACAGCAGAGGGATTATCGATACATAAAAAACACCCCTGGATATTTTGCGGCGTCTCGTCTAGCAAGAGACTTTCTGCATCAAGGGGCGGCGTGCTACGTATGTGGGTCATCTAGTAGTTTTATCACAAACAATTTGCAAAATACGGAATGCTGCTCCGAATCCTCGTTGTTACAATGTTGTTTGCAGTTATAATGTTATGTTTGCAGTTATAATGATCAGCAGCCATTTTCCAAGAATCTCCAGTTGCTAATTTGCTACTTTAGTCAATGATTTTTAATTATCTCGCTACAGTACAGAGAGCTATAGCTGCAGTTTATCCGCGAAACTGGTCGACTGGCTTAAGATCGTCCCACATGCCACCAACATAAGTTTTATACTGTTTTAGCACTCGTGTATGTAGTTAGATGTATGTGTAAGTTTCACGAAACCTTTTTCTTTTTTTTATGTTTAATGGACCCGGGGTAGACATAGTACCCTGCTCTCCGGGGTATCGTCAATAGTAGCGTGGTAGAGTAATTTCCTGTATATAAAGTATTGTGTGTAAGTACTTGTAAAATTTGTATTGGATGTTATAGAAAAAGCAATAGCTAACTCTTAGTGATGCCAATTTTCAAAATGGAAAAGCGTCTCTCTTGATAAAAAAGTTCCATGGCTGTTAAATTGTACGGAGCAGTGCGAGGAGCAGTGTTTGCAAAGGGAAAAAGCCTTTAAGCAGATATTATCTTGATTGACAACTCACTGTTGTGAAAGCTTTAGTTTCTTCGATCTCTAAGCGTCTTAATATCTAAATGAAACCCCTTATACACCAAGATCGACTGCTTTTAAACGAGTGTATAGACTTACAATTTACAATGAAATATTATCTTTCTACCTGAAATTAGATATTCTATTGGGGAAAAGATTAATTTATATCTGCTTAGTTTTCTTTCCCGTAGTTTACCAAGTCTTTTGAAAAGCTTGTTGCTGCAAAGTACTGGATCTATCACCTCCGTATAAGCACGTCAAAATATCTACAATCTTTTGCTTAAATCTTCTGTCTCAACAGTCCAGCAGGATCAAAATCACCAAATGAAGTGAAGGTGTCTGAGAAATTGATTCGATATTTTAGATTTAATTGGCTACATGACAATGTACGTGCTTCTCTCCGCCCCTAGAAGAAGCTGGTCTCCGTCAGGTTAATCAACCGCAAGGAAAAAAATCAATCAAGTGTAAAAATTTCACATTTTTACTTATGAGCAATTGTTTCATTAGAAATTGTTTTTGCTCTATCAAATATTTGCCCTGCTAAGGCTCTTTTACACCGTGAAATTTTCGTAAGATTTTGCAAAACATTTTCCCTTTTCAAAGTTTCTCAAAATTCTACTTATATCCAATCATGATAATGATATATTACAGAAGACATGCGACCTCCCATTAGCTTTTTATACATGATTATTACTCACAATGAAAATTTCTAAACTGTTAACGTTGAAACTCCGTGCAGGAAAGTATGAAAGTCGTCGACACCTTTGACATTTTTTATCATTTTGAACTTCAACGTCAACCTAAAGTACTTAATGCAATAAAGGATTATCTTGATGCTAATTGCATTATCAATCTCTTGCATAATGTTTTGAAAATTGATAACTTTTGGAAAACTTTTATGAGTCTAAATGAGCTTTTTTACAAGTTGTGTTTGTTGTTAAACATATCCATTTCTTGTCGATAGCATCCATTTGGATTTGATTCGCAGCGAAGGCATTTTAAATACAGTGATTTTCTAGCTTTTAATTATAATGGAATGGAATGAACTGACTCTACAAATTGTATCAATGTTATTGTTGGTTTAATTTTTTTCAACGTATTGATAACATCGTTGTAAGGTGATTTATCGATTCAATATCGTAGCAACTGTTAATTCAATATCGTATCAACTTAGATGTCAGATGAAATTGTTATTGTTCCACGAGGTTTCAAAGGGTTTGCGAACTTCGATCATTTTCTTACAAATGCAAAGTCTAACGATAAGATTTCATCAATTTGAAAGATCCTTAGCAACAGAAGCAGTAATAAAAGCACCAAAGGGGGCCCATAATTGAATAATATGGATGGTAAAATTTTGATATTCAACGAAATCTCAATGAGGTGTCCTATAATTTTTCAGAGCAGGAAACTTAGTTCAAATTTGCATATGCTTATAAATATCTGGCTTTTAAGCCATTCAATTTGTTGACAAAAGAATTGAACGTGAGCAGTCGATCAAGACACTCATGTCTTCATCTTGGCCAATATCCGAATGTTAATTTAGGTAAGAGCATTCTTCAGGCACTCAAATGTGTTTAGTTTTAGTTGATTTAGATTTAATTATATGTACAATAGTCTTATACTTAACCATCATTTTAAACTTTGTCTTCGATTCCTAACACTCATTTATCGTCCTGGATTATTCGCTTCTTTTTTTCGTCCTTGTTCATTTTTATTTAAGGGCGCCAAAAGCGATCATTCACAGAAGTGTCAATTTTTGACACAACAACACACTTACTGAATAAGAACAGTTCACAAGTAATAATTAGTTTGTCTCTTTTCAAACACTCATGCAATATGAAATATAATTCCCTTTTCCTCATTTTAAGGACAATGGAATGAACACAGAAAGTCAATAACTGATAGAAATTAAAGGAAATTCTTCTTATTTGCTGTCAAGTATAACCGAGGAAAGGCAACAACAGGTATGAATTTTCTGCTTGTTTTTTCTTTAATATATGTTTTTAAACTGTTTGAAATCGCTTTAAGTAGGAAATGCTGCAGTTGTTCAAATTTCTCATTGAAAGAAAATCTAGTTGATATCAAATTTCAGTTCAATTCACGGTTCTGAAGTTTCAGTTTTCTTTTCATGAACTTCAAACATAAAATGCACATAAAGCAGTTGGTATTTACACAAGGCCTGGCAACCAGTTTTGCTGCAAATTTTTTGAGTACAAATTTTTTAAGGCTGTGCTAATTTTCTTTTCGTTATTCTTAATCAGGAAGCGTTGAATAAAGTTTGAACTCAGTCTGCATTTTATGGCAGTTTTGGACGAAATCTCGGGAGTGCACAAGCTATTAGCCAGGAGTGCAAGAGTGCACTTACGGTACGTGGGAGTAGTTGCTGCGCAGGATAATTTTTTACTGATTTTGGCGGGAACTTAGTTCAAGTTTGCATATGCTTATTACTGGCTTTTAGGCCATTCGATTTGTTGACACAAAGCTTCGAAGGAGAGCGAAAAAAAGCTAGTTAATGCTAAATTGCAGATCACTTCACAGTTCTAAAGTCTCCAGTTTTCTTTTGATAAACCTCACAGATCAGGCACGGCGGAGCAGGGGGCGGGCTGGGGGGCTTTAGCCCCCCACTTTTTGCAACAAATGCCAAATTTTAAGTATTACCAGTAACTACCAGAAAAGCCTCTTTTTATACGGTTTTAGCCCCCCCCCCACATTTTTTAGACCCCCCACTTTTCTCAACGCTCTGCGGTGCCTGTAGATGAAATCCACATAAAGCAGTTTGGTTATAAAACACAGCTTGGCAACCAGTTTTACTGCAAATTTTTAAGGAAAAAATGAAGGCCGTGCACATTTTCTTTAAAGCGTTAATCTAAACCAGGAAGTGTTGGATATAGGCAGATGAATACTGGGTAGGTCAAAATGTAAATTTGAAAAGTTGTCTTGCTGTCGATAGGAACTTAGCTTAGATCCTAATACTTGCATTATTCAGTGTGATCCAGTTCTATGCACAGCCTGTCAGCCAATGTGTATATTTGAATGGGAATCATTTGCCATTATAAAGAAATGTTCAAAGGGTACAATAATTAATATGCTTTCTTCGAATCATTCACTTTGTTATTTTACATGGAAAATAGACTTTGCACTACACACAAAATAAAGTATGGCATATTACTGCTGATTATTACCAAGCTTTAAAATTTATTGTAGCTTATATTGCGTTTTTAGTTTAGATATATGCTTTAATTGTTTTATGTTTTATGATAATTCACAGTATACCCATCACTAACTCATGGGTATACTAGCATATATCTGATTTAGAGAACTCATCAAATACTTTTTGAGTTTCATCTAGCTTGTAAATTTTTATGTAGATAAGTTTCAGTCTCAAGTTTATCAAAAAGCTTGTTTTTTATTAATGCTACTTTGCTCCTTGCCTTGAAAACACATTTTCTTTATTGCAACAATACTTTTTGTTATATCCTGCAGTTTGAAAGAAGTACTTGTTTGTAACATCACTGTTATTAAACATCAAATCAATTGTTAAAAGTTACTGCATAATATATTACACTTTTATAAATTTGAAAATGATACAAGAATTTTCCTGATCTCCCACAGACTCCTCTCATCTTTAATTTTTTAGTTTTCTCCCAGTTTATTGATTTTTTAACATTTTTCAGTTCTTCCTTTCAGTTTGTGTTATTATTGGAGATCAAAGAGAAGAAGAAACATCCGTTTTGCCTTGGTATGTTTATTTATGGAATAATTTACTTTTTACAATTTGAAATATAAATGGCATACTTTTAATATTTTTCATCTGGCATTTAATTTTGATATGTGGATGACACATATACCATTTTCAAACACAGGCTGAGTGTAATACTTTTCTAAAAACCTCAATAGCCAGGGGCATAGTGTGGGGGTGAACGCCCCCCAATTTTCACAGAACTCATTGGTAGAATTAAATTTGTAACAAAATTTTAATGTAACAAAATAATTTTTGGCAGTAAAATATGGTTTTCCATCACTTACACCCCCAGCAAAAATGGTCACGCGATGCCACTGTAAATAGCCTTCATCCAGCCCTCTATTTTACTTTTGAAAAGGAAGAAAATGATTCCTTGCCACTTTTAGAGGTTTTGGTAGAAGTCTTACACTGGATTTCTTACCAGTGTAAATTTTGAGCCCACCTTTACCAGTCAGTACATATGCTTGAATTCATTTTGCAAAGTCAACCTTGTCAAAGCTTTAGTACATAGGGCACTCATTATCTGCTCAAAATCTAAACTGCATGCTGCACTGGAAAAACTTAAAAGGATCTTTCTGGACTGAAAAAGTGCCAAGTTTATCACAAACTAGCATTGATTGGTAACACTTCTTTTCAATTCAAGAATCAGATTAGGCCAGATGTTACAAGATATTTCTTTGCTGTCAATCCCTGTATTGTTTACAGCACTAGGAGAGCCTTTCCATCCATTCAAAATAATTGTGTTCCTACCAACCAAAAAAGTTCTGTTGTTTATGAATTTAATGTGCCAGTGTGATTCTGGCTAGGTAGGACACACAACCCAAAGATTGGGGGATGGGGTAAAACAATATGTCCCTTCCAACATAAAAAACAAAACTGCTCCTCAAAGGAAAAACAGCCTCCTCAATCTTGTAGGTCTAGAAACACTGTTAAAACAAGCGATTCTGCCATCGGTCAACATCTTTTAGACAACCCAGATCGTGCAAAACTCTATAATGATGACTTGTTTTGGATAATTGACAGAGCCCGGTCGTCCTTCCATCTAGCAGTTTTGGAATTGATCTACATACAAACGAAAAAGCCACCATTGTGTAGACAGAAGGAGTTTGTTTTCTCTCTTGGACTCCAGTGGTAATTTTTCTTTAGGCATGCGGCACTGATTGGTCAACTAAATGCTCTGAGGAATGTCACACAAAAAAGCTTTTAGCCATTCTGTTATAGAATGTTTGCTTTTTTCAAACCCATTTCAAGTTCTGTGCCACCAAAAAACTGTTCATAATATTTTTCAATAAAATATGTGTTCATGCTATTTCAAACTTTTGTTGGTGTTGAAGACAAATCATTAACATGGATTACATCACCCAATTTGCTGTTTCCGCTCAAGAGTTACAGGGCCATCAGAAGGGAGGCTGGAGCCCAGAGCTCCCCATATTTTCCAAACTGTACTGCATTTCATTTATATAAGATCAGATGGGTAGCCCCCCCCCCCCCTCAATATGAGCTTCGCTCTGATGGCATTTATTTATTGATACTTCTTGGAGGTTTATTGATCAACTATTAGCACTTTAATGCAACACATTGAAAGGTATTGAAAAACAAAAGCTGACATTCCAGGTTTCAGGCAACAAAAAAGGAAAATCCTTTGATATATTTGCAGATTGGTCTGTGCACTCTCCTTGTATTTGCACAGGCATCTTCTTCTGAAAATGGAAAGAGAATGTCAATCACAAGTCCACCATTTTCAGGCAAACCCCGTTTTGGACAAACAGGCAAATAATGCAGCCAATGCTTTATCATAACTGTATTGAGCATAAGTGACTTTCTATCTTGCCAAGTGAATGGCAGCTCTAGTGATAGCTTCTGCCCAACAAAATGGAGTTTATTGAAAATTGATGGGTATTATAGCCTAAATAAACAAGCATTTATCATACATGTTATGAGAAGTTTTAAATTGTTGTAGCAAGTATTATTGTTGTTATCAGCAGGTATTTCAGTTTGGTAAGTGTCTAAAGAATTTTCTTGTTTGCTTTTAGCTTCAAGTGCAACATGTGTGATGAATTCCTGAGAGCAAGAAGTTAATAAGGTTTGTAGAAATCCCTTCCTGTCTCTAGATTTTGCAACAAAATTTTGCTGTGTTTTAACCTCAAGCACTCACTTTTAGCTTAAGGCTACCCAATAGAACTAGAAAGGCTATTAAATTGCTTAGTCATTTGTAACACACACCTCTTTCACGTGAAATGATGATGAATACCATTTTTATAAATATTGTTGATTTCTGAAGATCTTAAATTAACATTTGATAAGGATATCCTTATTTTTTATGCTGGATTTCATCTTTTTATGCCTGGTGAATGTATGTGATGAGAAATGAAATTTTGCCATTGTCCGTGTGCAGATATTTGAGTTTGGAAAAAATTTTTAGTGTTTCTTTTACTTTCAAGGTCAACATGTCAAGTGTGGTGAAATTCCGCAAGCAAGGTTGGTAAGAATCCCTTCCTTTGTATAATATTTGCTTTATGACAATAGGCTGCTTGTTCTGTCCTGATTACTTTGTGCCTATCTTGGCCAGGGATGCAAATAAGGGTATGTGGGGGGGGGGGGGTTGACAGTTGTCATAAAAACATTGATTATTGTTTATTGGAAGAAGTTTGGGAGGTGTAATGCTAAAATTCTGGTGACATATGTTGGGGAAATAAAGAAAGGGTTAACATTTATTTCCGATAGCACATTGATGTGAACGACAGCAAGATGTTGCATTGATTGGAAATTATTTCCTAAGCAGAAATGTGCATCTTTCATGTCTCGAGAGTGCCATTTTTACGCATCCAAAACGAGACATTATAATTATACAGAAAATTATACAAAAACTTGAAAACTTTCAAAAGGCAACTAATCTTCGAACAAAACTAAAATTGATTACAATCATCAATTGACCTCCTGTCTAAAGTACGTTTCCATAAAAAGCTTAGCTTCACCTTTAAGTTTAGCAATATTAAGATTAATTGTTAAGTTTCCAGATCTTTGTTTTTGTAAAATTCATTGAAGACGAAATTTTGATCAGCAAACTCTGCAAGATTTTTTGAAAACCTTGAAAAGAACATATTTTGTTTTGAAAATTTTGAAAACTTTTGAAAAAAGCAAAACTTGCTTGCTCAAATTTTTTTCATATGAAACTTCTGAGAGCATATAACGTCAGAATGAGGGTCCAAAAGAACAAGATGGAAAATTCGATCGAGAAATTGGCATTTATTCTCCATCTTGTTCTTTCTGATCCTTATCCTGACGTTTTATACTCTGAAGAGGTTCAGGCGAAAAGGCTTTTAGTATGTTAAAAATGTTTGCTTTTTTCAAAGCCATTTCCAAATTTAGTAGCGCCAAAAAATTGTCCATATTTTGTTTTACTGACAGCAGTAGCTGTGGTAGCAGCCAGAAGGCCTACTCTCACTTCCAACCCTCGTTAGTTTTTAATTTTTCAAGTAAGTGCGCAATACTTGAAGTAATTTTATTTCTGTTGAGGTGACTAATTATTTTGTGAAGCCCATGACTTATGATTAACCATTTTAGATTAACTATATGATTAACTTTATACTTTCCAAACGTCCTGTTGGTGGCAAGCTATTTTATTTTGCAATTCAACTAAAAACTCATAGGCATCATGCTTTTTGTACGTTACAACCAGAAATTTTGTACCCAAAACAATTATGACTTATTGGAGCCAAAACTCTTGACAACTTTTTAAAAAACGTTATACGGAATTTGTTGAGAATTGATGCCATCATGTACGAACCTTTTGTAAAACTTAATGGAAAGTTAAACCGTCTGTTTTGAAAAAGAAGTGGTTTCAAATTTACAGCTATCTATTAAAGTATTCCAATCTTCCTTCAAATTTTTGTTCCGGAATAGAGAATGTGCTTTTCTTGAGAAATTTTTTACCCTTTTTACCATGTCTTTGCACAGTTTCTCATACAGAAAGAGCCTTCAATCTGTAAAGTCATCATTTTTCGCAAAACGAACGGCAGCAGGGTCTCTTAGAATTCATTTGTCCAAGAAATGTTATCAGATATCTTTCGGACAAGTCTACCTGATCATAATTCCACACGCTGATGTACTGGCATTATATCTTTTGTAAATAATTTTTAACTCTAGCGTAGAGGCAGGAGAAACACAGTCATTAGGCTGGCAGGTGCTAAGGCTCCCCCTTTACTTTTTTTCAAAGATATGCTGCAAAACTTTCGAAAATTTATGAGAATATATTTCGTCAAATTTCTAAAGATTTCGAGATTGAGTTTAATCGAGAATAATCTCGTCTCCTAGGCAAGAGAAGTTGCTTTCTTTGTAAAATCTTGGAAGATCTTGGAAGTGTCTCGCTAGCTGAAAAATCATCATTTGATACCTAAAATTGAGGGTGATACATCAATTGGTACCTACAAATTTTGTCAGCCGTGTAGACGTTTCAAATACAGTCAATTCGACTGAGAATCTTCATCATGCCAATGCTAATTATGAATAAAGAAGTTTGATTTCCAACATGGGGCATGTTCCGACATTCTAAATAGGGTGATTTCAAAAAATTCTTCCCCGTTTCGTTTCCTATGACAATGTTTGCAACAAACTGATTCTCAGCCAAAGCAAAGTTTTTCTGAGCCCGTTTTACAACCCCAAAGTTAGGTGACTTTAGGACCTATTGGCGCCCTTTTGGCTGCTTTTCCCGGTGGGTCAAATGATTGCCAGTCCGCCACTGCTCACATCCATTGGTTATGGCAGTTTCTTAATGTCATTTTCAAACAAAGTCATCTCGAGACGATTTTTAAAGAGGATGAGCACATGAGCACGCAGCTGATTCTCTCTAGCTGTTTCACAGATAAGAATTGCGGCCAGCTCTGATCAGGCTTCAATGCGATAAAATGCAAATCTACCACATTTGACTAATTAAAAATTTACTCCTTTTAGTCAAGGACTAATAAACATTTCTAAAAAGACATTTTTGACAATACATATTTCTTGTTCCATGTACAAATAATTTTAGCAAAATACTGGACTTGCTGTAGTATGATTTTACGTTCATTGACAGTGACAACCGTATTTCAAGTTATGTAGCAGTCATGATGTTCACATTCATATTTTTGCAAAATGTTCATAAAAGCACCTTATCAACCAAGGCGATTGAAAAACAAGTATAAATGGTTATAGATGATTTTCGTTATAAATATATGAAATGCAACAGTTGAAACTTCGTATAATCTTTGGGCTAAGCGAAACAAGAAAGCAAATTACCTTTGGTCACTAGCTTTTAGAAATTTGATTGAAGTTAGTTCATCTAAAGCTAGCTATTAGCAATCTACAGCTGGCAAATACTATCGTTGAATGTTCTGTACATGTTCATTCCTTTTTATGTATGATACAACTCTGATTCCCTTTTTTCCAGCAAAATGAAAATATCAAAACTGTTGTCTCTTTTCGATAATACGACTTTGACATCAAAATTTCATGATTTTATACATTAGACATTATTTTAAAGACAGTAGTTAGATTGCTAAACTCAATATTTCAAGTTGACTACTTTTCCATTACTTTAGACTCAACAAGAAATACAAGGCAATTATGCTACTTGAAGTCAACGACTTTCTAAAAGCTAGAAACATTGATTGACCATTTAAAGTTCGGAATTCAAGGTTGAAAGTGAAATGAGATACAATTTGACTCATTTTATTATTGGCAATAATTATTCAATCCAATGTATGGACCTTTGGATAGTGTGAACAGTTGCTAACTCTTACCAGATGTCAAGAATTTGGAATAGAAGTAGACTAATCTAAAACGCGTTATTTCAAAACTCATGCTCTGCATTATAACATCAAAAGGATTTGGAATTAAAAATTTTAAAGTATTATCGATATGATCTGAAAAAAACTCACTTGAGCACATGACAACATGAGCGTTGGCTCTTTTGCAATCAAATCAATATGACTTGATCCAAGCTCAACATATTATCCTACGTTGTCTAGAAAAAGCTACCCTGAAACATTGAAGTGGGTCAGAGCAAGGCCACAAATTTGTATATAAAAATAATAATATGTAGTGCAACAGAAATCTAAATTCACGACCAAGTTGATTCAGTTTAAATAGGTAATGAGGATACAGGCAACATTGGAATTATCCTGTTCTTGCCTTTATTACTCTGATAACATTTTCGTTTAAAAGACATTATTGCAACAGAAACAAGAGTAAGATTTGTGAGCATATTTCTAATCATATCAAACAAAGTAAGACGTCTGTTCCCATTTCTACCAAGGTCTCTGTGCATCACTTTTCGCGATGTTCTCCTCCATGTTTCCAATATGAGCAGCAGAATACTTAATTGATTCTCATTTTTCAATTGAAATTTATAAAGTGAAATTAATACTCAACTTCCATAATTTTGCCGGATGGTAGTAAATAACATATGATATTATAAAAAACTTCCCATATTAAGTTTATTGGACCAGGCAAGACTACAGTAAACATTGTGCAATTTCCTGATGACAATATTTCTGCCGATTATCAACAGAATCACCTCAGATGATGTTTAAATGCTTGGACTTTAAATAGAAAAACCTTAAAATTGGATTAATGACATTATTACAATCCTTTTTATAGAGAATCTTTAATAAGGAACGGCCATCCAAAAATCATATTGCAGTTTTGCAGCAAAAAGGTTTTTGGGATGCCAAAGCAAAATTTCCTATGTTGAAGTATTGAGATCAATATATGAACAATTTTTTGGAGGTACAAAAGTTGAAATGGCTTTCGAAAAAGCAAAAATACTACAAGATACTAAAAGCTTTTTCTTCTGACACTCTTCAGAGTATAAAATGTCAGAATAATGGTCCGAAAGCCAAAATGAAAACAAGGATCCGTCAGAATAAGGGTTCAAAAGAACTTTCCTATTTTCCATCTTGTTCTTTCAGACCCTGAAGTTTTATAGTCTGGAGAATCTCAGGTGAAAGCCTTTTAGTATGTTGTAAAATGTTTCGTTTTTTTAATGCCATAATTGGATTATCCTTGGTTTTTACATATCTTTGATCTTACTTCTAGTCAATGAGAGAGGCTAAACAAGGCCAAAAGGGAATTTGGGCCTTATGGAGGTAGTACCTAAATTCATTGTGCAGTTTATTGCATATACACATTTCTTCCATGCTATTGACAAAAGATTGAAGGTCTTTTTACGTTTAATTTGTAATAATCAGCGCCGTTAGAATTGTTTTTCCTTCCAATATGTGACCATTTTAAAAATTCTAGAGATTTACTTTTTATGGAAAATCAACACTGATAAAAAGTCCCAATTTTTTCAAAAAACAGCTTCCACTGCATATCTACATTGATTTCTACTCAATTTTTATCGTTTTGAGTCAATTTTTGAGCAAAAAATCCGCTTCTTAACTTGACCATTTTTCCAAGACTGTAGACTTACTGTTTAAGGAGAATTAACAGTAGCAAAAAGTCTTTGTATATTTGACGATTTGGCAATTATTCCAGAAGCTTTTTGCTGCAAAGCTTTTGATCGATCATCTTCTTACTTACATATCACAATTATCTGCAATCTTTGGCTTACATTTTCTTACTCAACAGCTCAACAATCTCGAAATCAGCAAGGCTGATTTTACATTTTAAATCTTGATGTGTTTTTTTTACCCTATGCAAGTTTTTTCTCCACCTCCAGAAGATGGAAAAGCTGATCTTAGTCAAATAATCTAAAACAAAGATAATTGAAATATTTAAGAGTAAAATTTTGGAAGTTTACTTTTGGACAGTCCAATTTTGAACATCTTTGTTAGCAAAAATTATTCCTTGCCATAAAAATATTTGTTTTGCTAAGACTTGTTTATTGTATTTCAATCAACAATAACTATGCCAGAGGTATATGGTCTCTGCAATCTAACGAGAATACAAATGCAGCCAAATCTGCAAGAATGATTAAAGCAATTTTATAAAATTTAATAAACATAAAAATGAACAGTATAAGGGTGAGCCAACGACCAAAAACAATTAAAAGTGTCTATATCGTACATTTCTTTAAGAGTTTTTTAAACTTTTTCACGTATCAAAATTTGTCGAATTCTTTCTTGCATTTAGTAAAATGATGAATTACATAAGATATAGAACGCTCATTTACTTCATATAGACTAGTAAATATTTAAAATGAAAATTTTGGAACTTCCTGCTTGCAAGAATCGAATGTTTTTGACACATTTGGCAATGGTTTATCATAAGATTTTTTAAAAGCAACCTGAAAAACTTTTTTCAATAAATTATTATTTTGATATGATATTATATGAATTTCAAGAAAATATTGTCTGTTTCAGTTTTAATTCCTTTCATAAAATTATGAAAAATTGTATCTTTTATTGTTGTTTTGTTGTTTTGTTGCTTTGGCAGGTGATGTTGCTTTGGCAAAACTCGCCAGCTTCTTTGTCGATGGCATACATTTGATATGATTCAAAGAGAAGCTGTTTTTTATTTCAGTAATTTTCTTGCGTTTAATGCGAAAAGTGTGGAATAATTTGACTTAAAATGTAGGAACATCGTTGTTGGTACCAGTTTTCTCAATCTATTGGTGTTATCATTGTATGAACAATTATCAATTTATTATCGTGATAGCTGTTATAAAAAAGAGCCAAAATTTTAAGGGATTAACCTCGATCCTTTATTTCTTTCAGATTCCAATCTGTGTCGAGTTGCATCTTGTTTTTCAAAAAAGAGAGACTAGAAACCAACAATATTTTTGTGCACTGATTTTGTAAAATGTGAAGATCTTTGACAACACAAGCAGTAACCAAAACACCAAAGAGGGTCCAGAGGTGAAAAATATGGATTGCGAAATTGGACATTCAAAGAAGTCCCACGAGGTGTACCTCGATTGTTAGGCGAAGGTTGGATCAAAGGATGCAAAACGTGAAGTGATTCTTACTTATTTTCAGTACAGATATAAAAACAAAAAGATGGACTCCCAATTGATTTCTTTTCAAAACACTGATAAAACAGGGCGTTGACAACTATTAAAGATTAGGGGGTTTAAACAAGCAAAATATCATCATACAACGTCCTTAGGCCATTAGAAATATATGTTGAATAGTTGTACAATCTTTCACAAGATCCTACAAACAAATCCTGAAGAATCGAGAAATATTAAGACTCCGCGCCACCTAAATATATAGAAAAACTGAAGGTCGCATTAAATGCACTGGTCATAAATTTTGGGATTTATTTTTAGCATATTCTTAAATTTTGGGATATCATTTTTAAAATAAAGGGGGTTTTATTTACTTGATTGAGTTGTTGCATTTTTGCAAATTTGAATTAAATTTAAAGGTGTATATTTCATATTGTATCGAAATTTGTGGGTAGGATTTTAAAAATGCAACAACACTGTGATATTACAAAATGGCACACCCCCGTCCTTCGCCTATTGAAATTCCCTGTGGTGTGAAGGAGATCATCATTGGCGGGAAATTTGAATGAATTTTGGCGGAATGGCTGGTGGATGCACAGGAGACTTTTGTTTCAGAATTTGGCGGGAATCTAGTCCAAATTTGCATATGCTTATAAATACCTGGTTTCTTTGCTATTCAATTAGTTGGCACAAAAGATCGAAGATGAGGTGCTGGTGCAAAACTCTCATGTCTTCATCTTGGCCTAGAACGGCATGTAAACCTAGGTACGACCTTTTTGTCAAGTACAAGATTTAAGAGTATGTCTACTAATGTCAATTGATAATGCCATTCGCAGTTATTAGGTTGTTATGTTAATCAAAATGAAGCAGGCGAAACTAATTAAATACAAACCTGTGATTCTGCATCCTTAACGTTGCTTTATGCTTTCGATTTTTAAAACTGATTTATCCTATCGGATTCTTCGTTCCTTTTCCTCGTCCGTTTACTTTGTTATTCAAGTATACACCGAAAGCGAATGTACAGAAGTGTTTGCATTGATAAAAATGCTTTTTGTTTCATTTTAAGGATAATGGAGTGAACACAGAAAAGCGACAAGTTAAAAGTGATTCGTTGACCCGACGTCAATCATAGCTCTTGGCGGGGAACAGGTATGAATATTTTGTTCGTTTCTTTTTTAAAAGAGGATAAATGTTAACTGAACTATTTTGAACTGTTCTTAGAGAGAAGTAATGTCGTTTTGCTATGTTTCAAATTTCTTTCATAAACCTTCCAGACGGAGGCCAAACCACAAGAAGCTGTTTGTGTTAATAGACAGCCTGACATCAAATTTACTTTCATTTTTCAATTTGACCTTTTTTGTGTTCAAAGCTCATCAATACTTTTTTGAACATTAAAATATGGTTTTTGTCTGTCCTTTACACAAAAATAAGGTCAGATAACATTCTTTATATAGGCTCAATAAATTTGAGCACTTTGCTTTAATTAGTTACGTTAAATGAATACAAATTGAACTGTACTGATATCATAAAGAGCTAAGAAATGGCATGTTTATTTTATGTGAGGAAACTGAATTGTGAATTACAAATTGTGAAGATAAAATCACTTGTATTGTCCTTGTCTTGAATATATGTTAATCAAGCTGAAATTGTTTAATAGATTTATAAGCTACCAGAAAGGGCTTGTGCAGCTTAATAACATATCAGGTCAATTGTTGTTTGGTGATTTTTAGTTTTGTATTCAGATAAGTCTTTAGATGAATTTCTGTCTCCAGTTTATCAAAGACATGTTTTTTAATGAATGCTTAAGCTCATAGCCAAAAAGCAAGTTCTTTTTTTCAAAATACTCTATTGGCAAACTGGATAAAACATTTCATTTCAAACATTCACTGTCATTTTGCTTCAACATTTCATTCAAGCTATGCATGGAATTTTGTATTTATATTTTGTAAGCTCTATTATATTTATAAAGTTGAAAATGGCACAACAAAATTTTCATTATTTTAATTTTGTAATTCAACATGAGATTCACTTTACTTAATTTACCCCAAAAGCTCTTTCAACTCTCAATCCAATTCTTCTAGTTTTGTTTCCATTTTTCCAAATTCCTGTCTCCTCAAAACTTGATTATTTCTTTTTAAAATTTTCCCAGGTGACTCTTAGGTGTCAGTTAAAGGTGAAAGAAAAGCTAATTGGTATGTTTTATTTCATAATTTTTAGAATTTAAGTTAGACATCCATTTTAAAGATTCCTTTTTTTAATGTAATTTATGTTTTAGTGAGATCTATTCTCAATACTTCATGATAATACTTCATTTTATACTTTTTTTATACTTGATTTCTGTCAATTAAAATAAAATGTTCCAAGAAAACTCTATTTGCCCTTTCATTTGTTGTCATTTGTTGTTCAAGACTTGGAGAGAATGCCAATCAAAGCTCATAATTTAAGTTTCTCTCAAGCAAACCCTTTCAGACAAGCAGCAAAACAAAACAGAGCAAATGTTTAAGATTTTTAAGCAAGCTGAGATAATCACATTTATGTATAGATTTTAAGAGACTCATTTATAATATATTTAAAGCTCTAAATAAATCTGAAATGAATCTCTTATATCTTTGTTTGATATCTTTGCTGTTTTGGCCAATATTTAAATAATTTTAATTTCATTTTTATTTTAAGGCCCTCAATGTTACCATTGGCAACAAATCTGCAAGGTTTGTAAACTCTGTTCGTTTGTCTAGCATTTTTAACTAACTTTTCTATATTTATGTTGTTGTTGAGACAATCATTCTCCAAGTTCAAAACTCCACTGAGCCAGGATTATATTTTTTAAATCCTTATATTACTATTGCATATGGGTATTTATTTCCAACATTCCATTACAACTTTTTATTTTGGTGATGCATATAATGAGAAATTAGCATTTTTTGTATCAGGATTCTGAAAATTTTTGTGCTTGGAAATCACTTTTTCATTAATTTTCTTTCAAGTTCAACATGTCAAGTGTGGCGAATTCTTGTGAACTAGAGATCAGTAAGGTTTGTATTAACCCCTTTGTATGTCTAATATTTGATGAAATATCTCACTGAGTTTTAATTTAAAACACTCTTATCTATGTGTCTACCATATATAATATAAAAAATTATCCATTCTTGAGACAATCATTCTTCAAGCCAGAAACACTGCTATGTTGGAATTTTATGTTTATTTTGGAAGATCTTTAATTGAATTAGAGCAAGGATATGTTTATTTTGATGCAGCACTCCTTTTTTTTATCCTGGTGATGAAAATAATGAGAAATGCACATTTTTGGTACCAGTTTTCTGCAGATTTTTGAGTCTCAAAATAACTTTCTTTCATTTCTTTTTTGTTTCAAGATCATTATCTCAAGTTTTATGAAGTCTCATGAGCAAGATGTTACTAAGGTTTGTAAATATTCCTTGTTATATTTACTGAGTACATTTGATCCAAACTTTCACTGAATTTTCTTCCATGAACCTGTTTTTGAGACAATTATTTTTTCAAGTTGTCAAACTTCATTTTGATAAAAATAATGTTCCTTGTTAAAGGTCTTCAATTAACATTAAATAAGGATATATTTTTAGTTGTATGTCTGATGCATCTTTAAAATGGGAGCTTTGTTTTTGTTAAAAAATTTGAGTGCTTTTTGTATATCAGAAAGGTATTGTAGCATACCATTAGGGAGATTTTCTCTCTTAGGGAGAAAGAATTTCTCCATGTTTGAAAGCTTTACAGTTTGGCAAATTTACTAATATCTTATATTTTTTTTAATTTGAGGACTAGAATTTAAGATGTCTTGGAATTTAATGAACACGGTGCCGTCAAGGTTTGTAGACACTTGCTATGTCTTATATGTGAACCTAGATTTAACTTTTTAAGATGTTGTTCCTCGTCTTAACAAGACAAGAGTTACGGAATATAGTGTAAATTCTAATCTTGAGACTAAATGGGCAGATTCAAGAAATTTAATAAACTCAATTTACAGTGTAAGTCTGACAATAACAAGATGATGTTCTTTTTTGTTAAATTACTTGAAGATTATTTTTACTTTAATTATATTTCCATAGTCATCTGTATTACATTAAAATGTCTTTATGAAGACAAGCTTAAATTATTATTTGGTTTTTTCTTGTCTTTATCCAAATTAAAATATTTATCTTTTTGGTTTTTATTAATAACTCTACATTTTTATGACAGGGTAAACTGCTTGATGTCATTAAACAATATACTGTTTGTGAAATACACCCGCAAGAAGGGCAAAGGTAGAAATGTTTATTTTATATTTTTGAATATGTAAAATATACATCTTCTCATCAAAAAATGAAACTTTGCCAATTTATCTCCAAAATGTTTCAGCCAAACAGTGAAACGTTTTATAACTGATTAATGTTAGAAACATTACATTACGTTTAATAGGGAAAAAAATGCCTGCATGTAAAAAACCTTTGCTACTAGGTACTTTCACTCCAGGAATTTTAATGATATATTTTCTTACATTGTGTAACTTTTATTTTTATCTCTTCGTTATACTATTGTGACCTATATATTTTTTTTACAAGAGCCAGTTTAATATTCCTCTTGTTGCACTAAATAACAATGAATTTAAGTTTTAATGTTCCAATTCCTTAAAGAAAGACTTGCCTGAAGTGATATTCAGTTAATGCATTGAAGACAATTTCTAAAACTTTTCTGCCATTATAATTAGAAAATTTAAATTGTTTCTCATTTGTTCGTAACCACTGCTCTAATTTTCCTAATTTTCATGATACTCCAAGTTATTTCTGATGTTATTACTGATGTTACATCTGGCTTTTCCTTTTTGTTGATGAATGTTTACTTTTTTTACAGAATAACATGCTGCTTGTCTAGAAACAATCAACTGTTGTTTGTGAAAGTCACCAGCAAAACATACAAAGGTACAGATATTTATTTTATCTTTTTAGATAACCGCTTTTCTCCAAAAATTATTCGAACAGAAGCTATGTTGTGTCAGTACTGGGTCAAGTAATTAAAGCAAAAGAAAAAGTGATAAATTGTATTTAAAGAATGAAAATAGGAAACAGGTCAGAATTTCAGCCAGTCATAAAACAGAGCATAATTTGCTGAATTTTTAAATTCAAGTCCCTCCATCATTTCATTATAACTCAACTGTCAATGTTCCATGATTCAAATAAGCAACACAGAGTCATCAAGGAATTATGCTGTTGTCTGTTTCCTTTTAAGGCTGCCCCTCAGTTCTAAATTTCTCCATGTTTGATAGCCTTACAGTTTGGCAAATATACTAACATCTTATCTTTTTTTGAATTTGAGGGCTAGCATTTAAGATGTCTTGGAATTGAATGAATAAGGTGCCATTAAGGTTTGTAAAAATTATTTAGAATTTTACTTACTTCAGATGTCTTATCAAGACAATATTTTTGTAATATAGTGCCAATTCTCATCTTGACATTTGACAAATGATTTTCAAAATTGTAATGTTTGAGCTACAAATAGTTATTGAGAGCAAGTTGTTACCATTATATTTACTCAAACTTAATGGACAGATTCAAGAAACTTGATGAGCTCAATTTCAGTGAAGTCTGGCACCTTCCAGATACTTAGCTATTTTTATTACGCTAAAATGTCTTGTCTTTTCTTGTTTTTATCTAGATTTATTTTTGTGTCCTTTTTGTTTTTTAATAGCTCTTCATTTTGTTTACAAGAGCTGGATGTCCATGAGCAATTATCTACTGTCTGTGAAGTTCACCTGCAAGACATGCAAAGGTAGAAATGTGTTCTTTATATTTTTGAATACAGAAATATATATTTATTACATTAAATATTTATTAACTATATTTGCTAACCAAAATCAAATAATTATAATCTACTCAAAAAATGAAACATTGCCAATTTATTGTCAAAAGTTCTCAGGCACACTGTGAAATATTATGGAACTGATTGATGTTGGAAACAATTATCAGTCTTATATGGATCAATATATGGTTTTATATGATGGATTATTGTGACCAATATTATTTTGTTGATAAGGAACTAGTTGTTACATTAAATAAGATTATTATTTAAAGTTTCACTGTTCTGAAAGATTTTTTGTGAAATGATTATTGATTAATGATGCATTGGAGAATAATTTCTTAAATGTATTCTGATCATCATCTATGTAACAAAATGTCTCTATGCAAATGTGCTTAAATATTTGAATGACAACCTACAAATTTTCCCTGGGTTGTTTTTCCCCATTTACTGCCTTAATTTTCCTAATAATTCATGTTGCTTCCATTTATTGTTTGTTTCATTTTGCCTTTCTTTCTGTTGATGGATGTTCACTTTTTTCACAGGGTAAACTGCTGGTCGTCTGGAAACAAAAATCTGCTGGTTGGAAAAGTCACCTCGAAAACACTCAAAGGTAAAAATATTTATTTATCTTTTTTATCATATATATATATGTGTTGTCTGCATATTAACATACTTTTTCTATTGGGTACATCATTTCATTAAGAAAAATCTCCAAAGAATAATATAACGACTTCACTAGGCCTAATGCTATCCTAAAACCTTACTGAAATTCTTCTATTAACATTAGATTGGTCGAAAAAACTTTTTCAAACGAGATCTACACTTAACTGATAAGTTACAGGTCATTCCTTGATTACTTTTTTCTAGTTTCGCTTTTTGGTGAGAAATATTTTGCTAACTTAGCCACAAGAAATGTTTTCTCAACGGGTCAGTTCTCAATTATCTTCTATTCAACTTTTAAGAATAAAACAAAATTTTCTACTTTTGAATACGATTTCACATAAAACAGAGTTTTGAATATGCTTCTTTGATTATTTTGTTAAATAGATGACGCTTTCGTTTTATCTTCCCGCAAAAATTTAATAACGATTTTTCACTTTCTTTGCGCAAATGAACTTTGGCCAATAATTTTGCTCGACCGTTCGAATTATTTTTGGAGGAGAGTGTATATTCTTCTATCATGTTCGAAATATAAATGCCATGTGATATGTCGAGACCTGATAACTGGGTATCACAAAACTAAATATTCATTTTGATAGCATTATCATTTATAACATTATTTCTAATCTACAAAATGTCGATAAGATGTTAGTGAAAGTTCAAAAATGGACATGAAAAAAATTACGGAGGTGATTAATGATAAAAAAATTCAACTTTGGATTAATTACATACACTGAATGTAAACATAAAATCGTCAGTTTGAATTGATCACAGCTATAAACTTTACGCAATGGAATCTGATTGGTTTTGATTGTTATTGACAAATTTTTATTCAGTGTTAAGAAATTGTTTTTTTCTTGCTCGTCAAGTTATAATATGAATAAGTTTTTTTCGCAAACTTTTCTGAGTTTTTAAAAAGGTTCATTTTTCACCAAAAACGAATCAGAATGGTCTACTCATTTTTTTACTAATAAAGATTTATAATTCCAAAAATTGCACAATTTTTGTGGCATTTGAAGTGGGTTCTAAAAATGGATTCACGAAGTTTTTGGATCCTTGGTATCATAAAAAAACCGTCTTTCTTTTCGAAGACTTTTTCATTCTAGATTTTTATCAAATAAATTCATTTGAGTTGACTTTTTATTGAACTCAGGTTTTTGGTTTTTCAATGTATGTTTCGACACTCTGAGCACAATTTGACTGAGATTTATGTAACCGTTAAAGATACTTTTTATATTGGGTACTAAGACTTGGGGATTTTTAGGGACATACACTTTTTTATTCTATTACTTTTTTTAATCTCTATTAATATCTATTCTTATGTTAATACAATACTGTGACCTTTATTATTTTGTTTGTAATCGTCAGCTTAATACAATTTCATTACACTGAATAAGATATTAATTTAAGTTTTATTTTTCTGAGTCTTAAGATTTGTATAAAGTTGACTAATGCACCAGAAGATGATCTTCAAATGAGCTTAAATAGCTGATTGATGGCCTCTCAATTTACTGCTGATTGTTTATATTTATCCCTATATACTGCCCTAACTTTTGTATTTCTTCATGTTTCTTTGATTTTATTGTTTATGTTTCATTATGCCTCTACTTTTTTGTTGATGGATATTCACTTTATTTGCAGGGCAAATTCTGGCTGTCCAGAAACAATAAGCTGCTGTTTGTGAAAGTCACCAGCTAAACTTGCAAAGGTACAGATATATATAGATATATTATCTTTTTAGATATACACTTTTCTCCCAAAGGTATTCGAACAGAAGCCAATGTTGTGTCAGTACAGGGTCAAGTAAATATAACGAAAGAAAAGTAATTGAATAATATTTAAAGAATGACAATAGAAATCAAGTCAGAATTTCAGCCAATCATTGAACAGGTCATCATGTGCGCAATATGTTCAAAATTAAAGTCCATTCATCATTTTATTGTACTCGCAAAACGAATTAACAGCACAGAGTCAGCAAGGAATTGAACAATACAATTTTTCAATGAAATTGCTAGGAACACCTTTCCAGATATCAAATGTTTTTTTAAATTAACTGTCGCTGCGTTTTCGAGGAAACGGATTCGATTCATTTTCCATAGAAAGCCAAAAAATCAATAGTATTTTCAATCACATTCAGGTCTTTGAGAAAAACATCCAAAGAACAATATAACGACTTCATTTGGCCTAATGATATCCTAGAACCTTACTGAAATTCTTCCATTGACATTAGATTGGTCGAAAAAACTTTTTCAAACCAGATCTACATTTAACTGATAAGTTATAGGGCATTCCTTGATTGCTTTTCTCTAGCTTCGCTTTTTGGTGAGAAATATTTTGCTAACTTAGCCACAAGAAATGTTTTCTCGACGGGTCAGTTCTCAATTATCTTCTATTCAACTTTTAAGAATAAAACAAAATTTTTCTACTTTTGAATACGATTTCTCATAAAACAGAGTTTTGAATATGCTTCTTTGATTATTTTGTTAAATAGATGACGCTTTCGTTTTATCTTCCCGCAAAAATTTAATAACGATTTTTCACTTTCTTGGCAAAAATGAATTTTAGGCCAATAATTTTGCTCGACCGTTTGAATTGTTTTTGGAGAAGAGTGTATTTTCTTTTATCATGTTCTAAATATAAATGCCAACTTTGGATTAATTGCATACACTGAATGTAAACACAAAATCGTCAGTTTGAATTGATCACAGCTATAAACTTTGTGCAATGGAATCCGATTGGCTTTAATTGTTATTGACAAATTTTTATTCAGTGTTAAGTAAATTTTTTTCTTTGCTCATCAAGTTATAATATGAATAAGTTTTTTCGCAAACTTTTCTAATTTTTTAAAAAGGTTCATTTTTCATCAGCGAATCAGAATGGTCTACCCATTTTCTTACTAATAAAGAGTAATAATTCCAAAGATTGCATAATTTTTGTGGCATTTGAAGTGGGTTCTAGAAATGGATTCACGAAGAAATCTTTGGCATCATAAAGAAATCTTTGGCAGTCCTTCTTTTCTAAGTCTTTTTCATTATAGATTTTTATCAAAAATTTAATTTGAGTTCACTTTTTATTGAATTCAGGCTTTTAGGGCACTCAAACTTTAACAAGTTATGAATATCTGATGAATTAGTTTTAGCTCTCATTTAGTTAATGTATATTTCGACACTCTGAGCACAATTTCAATGAGATTTATATAAGCGTTTAAAGTTTTAAAAGAAAAACTATTACGCAAAAATGTTTTTTCATACCACGTCGTTTAGGAAGTGAGAAGTAGGCAAAGAGTGAAGTCGTTTATCCTTTTCCAACCTTTCCAAAATTTAAGTATTAAAACGTTTCTTAAGATCAGATTGCAAGACTTTACTCTCTATTCCAATTTTTTAAAATATTACGGTTGGCAACTGCAAAATCTTCTGTTTTTAAAATCGTTTAATTGCAGATGAACTTTGGAAAAAATTGCGCTAAAGAGTCAACAACGATTCTACGTCAAATCTTATCTAACTTCCTAAAATTTCCCTATTTTTATGGACCATTTCATCACATTTCAGAATCACATTTATTGTTTTTATTGAGTTCAGCACATGCGAAATTTGTTAACCTTGAGAAATAGCTGTTAATTTTTTATCATTCTTGGTTAGTGGCAATGTTACTCTGCTATTTTCGAATGCTGAACTTCTGTTTTCTTTTTAATTTAGATGTTGGCGAAAAGAGAGCAAATGCGAGGAAGAAGCAACCCAATCAATCAAACGAAGATGATGCCAAATGTTTTCTGCATAATTTCATTAAGACTTAACAGCCAAAAGGCTAAAGTCATTTAGAAACTAGGTTAGAAAATTATTTGATTGTTGAATATAAATTTTTTTCTGTTGGCATGTCTCTCGTTATTTCTTTATTTGTCTCTTTGACTTGGGCTGATATTCGTGAGCGGAAAGGTTTTAAATGCAGTTCAAAATTCTAAATAAAAAGTAATGTATATATAAACATAATATAAAGAATAAATAGATTGATAATGATCACTTTGCGTGTGTTGTCCGCTTCAAAATTTGAAATGCTGCATTTATGCGTACCAAAGTCTCATCCACATCACTTTCCACTTTCAGAAATTCATCATCATGAACCGTGGTCCACATGTAGAAAAGCAAAAGAATCGTTTACCCGACGGAAACCTTTCAAATCGCTAGCCAGTTTCAAAAACATGCCCAGAGAAGGCTTTAAGGTGCGTAAGTATGCCTTTTTTTCTTCCTTTCTAAATTGGATTTCCTGCTTTTTTTCAGAGGGGGGCAGGTAAGTATGCGGCGGCGCGGGATGCCCCACTAACTTGAACTGAGTCTCGACTCAGTTCAGGTTAGTAGGAAACTGTTTTCCCGGCCTAACCGGCGTAAAACAGTTTCCTCTTCAATCATGTGCAATTGCTTACAGCCTCGGCTGCAATTGCTAGCCTAGCCACCCAGCTCCCCGGTCCTGGCCCCCCCCATCCCCCGGTCCGCAGGGGGGATGGGGTGGGGCCAGGGCCGGGGAGCTGGGTCGGCCGGCCGGCGGCTGTGGCCGTGGCCGTGAGCGTCGCACACGTGCGACGGGGGGTAGGGTGGGGGCAGGGGCGGGGGCGGGGGTAGGGGTTTCTTCTTTTTCATTCGTTGCTTGTTTAATCTTTCTTTCTTTTTGTTTTTGTAGGCTCTGATGAAACAACAAGATTGACAGGGAACTGAGGAGGTCCTCTTATTTTTTTAGGTCTCTGAAGTCTTTGAAGAAGCAGAAAGACGTTTTGGTCCACTCTGCAGTTTTGCAAAGAACAAGAAGCAGCAAAAGACGTCAAATTGAGATCCAGCTACCAGCAAAAGACGAGAAAGTTGTCGTGCTAGAAAGTTGTCGTGCTTTGGAAACTAGTTGCAAAAAAGAACAAGAAAAGGCATTTGTCCAGGTGCCCCAGAACAGATAAAAGCGGGACATTTCCTTTAGTGTAAATTACTATATGTATTTTTAGTACATGTTTCTGGTTCTTCTGGAGAATTATTGCAGCATTTCAAGCACAAACAGTTCTTGTAGTGTAGTTTGTTTTAATGTTTGGCCTTTTTCTAATGGCCAGTTTTTTTGCTAGAAAACCACATGTTTATCTGGGAAAAACGATAGAGCAGCATTTCGAGCACATGAGACAACGACACATTAGAACTTTAGAACTTTTTCCAATTTTCTTCTAGAGACTTTGCAGCGATTCTTGTAGAGTAAATTATTTTGATATTTGTCATTACGTAAAACTTGTTTCTTAAATCACATGTCTCCCAAGACTTCTTCAGGAGAGTAACTGTTAGAACTTATAGGCTTGTAGGCTTTTTGGAAATCGCTGTTTATCTTGTAGGCCATGTTTATCTTGTAGGCCATGTTTATCTTGTAGGCCTTGTTTTTCTGAGTCTTATTTTTTGCGTCTCTCTCTCGTATACTTAAACAAAAACACAACATTCCAATAACAACAATACACAGCATGACACCCATTACATAATACTCCTCTAACATAGCAATACTCTAAAAATAATACCCATTACATAATACTTCTCTAACATAGCAATACTCTAAAAATAATACCCATTACATAATACTCCTCTAACATAGCAATACTCTAACAATAATACCCATTACTAACATAGCAATACTCTAACAATAATACCCATTGCATAATACTCCTCTAACATAGCAATACTCTAACAATAATACCCATTACATAATACTCCTCTAACATAGCAATACTCTAACAATAATACCCATTACATAATCAATCTAACATAGCTAACATAGCAATACTCTAACAATAATACCCATTACATAATACTCCTCTAACATAGCAATACTCTAACAATAATACCCATTACATAATACTCCTCTAACATAGCAATACTCTAACAATAATACCCATTACATAATACTCCGCTAACATAGCAATACTCTAACAATAATACCCATTACATAATACTCCTCTAACATAGCAATACTCTAAAAATAATACCCATTACATTTAATTATCTGCTGCTCGTGAGAGCGAGTAGCAATAATTAACAAGTAATATCTCCCTATAATGTACTCCTAACATAGCCAATTACCATCTATATCTATATATTGTATCCCGATTACTAATACTTCCATCTAAACATAGCCAATACCGTCTAACACATAATACCATTACATAATACTCGCGCATACATAGCATACTTCTATATCTATATAATACCCATTAAAATACTCCGCTAATCATAGCTAATACTTAACAATAGATACCCATACATATATACCTCCTTCAACATAGCATACCTTTTGAATCTTCAACTAATATTATACCCATTACAAATAGCGGTCCTCTTATCATAAGCAATTACTCTAACATAATACCCATTTATCTATTTAATATCTTCTTCTTTTCTAACATAGCTAATATTTCCTTTCTTCTATATTCTATTAATATATATTATATCCCTTATTACATTATATTAATTCTATTCTTTCCATCTTATTCATATTATGCTATTTTTACTTATTTTTTTATCTTGTCTCCTCTAATCTTATGATATTTATCACTCAAACACCGTTTATACTATTTATTATTCTCTCTCATCTCTT